ACTTTCTGGTGAGAGTGGTTCATGGTGAAGGGCAAGAGTCCGTGAGGTCATTGGACCCCCCGGGTTAAGCCCAAGGCCTTGTGCATAAAATCCCAGGCGGCAAGCACGAACCACGAACCACGGATTCCCCGATGAGCTTTCACCCCTCAAGACGGGTCGTGTGCAGCAGCCAGTCTTGAAGGCCTAACCTGGGCGAAACGTGGGTTGCATATGGATCAAGGGAACTGCTTTTGCGAATGTCCGCAAAACTCCGTCCAAAGCCGTCCTACACCTTGCGCACGGGCGCGTTGGCCGGGGAAAACCGAGCCGCCCGACCGGGAGGGTGACTCCCCACGCTTCGGTGACTTGAAGCGGCGGCGCGGCACTGTGGGGGAGCTCAGCTTGCCTCGCTCGCGGCGACTCAAGAGGTCAGGTCACCTGTTTCAATCAGGTCTGGGTGAATTATAATATTTCACCATCCTGAAATAAGGTGGTTAAGGGGCTATTCCGCACATAAAGCACCATTTGGGGTGAGGTCGTGTGACAGGTTTGTCATGCCAATGTCAACCCAATCCACGCCAGCCCCGATTTGAGATGGATGAAACATGAGGAAACCCTGTGAACAGTGGCACAAACCACGTCTCTGGTGCCTGGCAAACGGATTTTCGGCCACAGGAGCCCAGACCAAGGCCTGGTTTGCTTGTAGCAAGTTCTGCCCAACTCGTCCGACCCAGGTGATTGACCATAAGCCTGCTGAGATGTCTAGACCAAAAAATGCATCACCTTTTAGCGAAAATCAACAATCTGCTGCCAAAAGGAAAGGGCGTTGATATCATGGTCTGTCAAACGTAGCGTGTTTGCGAATTGTTGTAATAAATAGACGTAGCAAGCTGCCAGTGAGGATGCTCATCTTACAAAGAAAGCGGCAAAAAATACAAGGCTGAGGTTGCTCCTTCAACTCAGTAGGTGAATCCTTCTCAACGCAAAACAAAATGAGACACCGGCAGAACTTGGGGAGATCAACATGTTTGGCTCTTACTTCTGGGTCTGTCATGAACCAAGACCTTGGCCCACATCTAGGATACACTGAAAAACAGATATGTTCGGACTCCGCTGCATACGATCTTTCCTTTTGTTTAAAACAAAAATAATGAAACAACCAAACACAAGCACGAAACAAACAAATTCTTAAGAATGTCGACACACCCAAAGTGCAAAGGTTTTGGGTCAGGGGCCAACTGACATGAATCCGAAAGCCGCCGAGTGCGCGGCCCAAGTTCTGGGGCAGCGCTTCCTGGATGTCTCGCCCATCCTGGCTCCGGGTCGCCGGTCCATTGGGCGTGTCTTTTTGGGACACCCACAACAGTGTGTGTTTCGCCCTTTTGGCTTCCATTTACAAACGCCAAAAGGGGGGTGCCACGAAAACACAACACGAATCTCCTGGGATGCCAATGTGTTCCCTGAAGGACATGTGCATCAAACTCGCAAAGAGTGATGCTCAAACGCGGGTGCGAAGCTGGGGCAATGGTTTCCGCCGTGCATATAACGCATCCAGTAGGCCAAAGCTGCATGTGTTCATTGAACAATACGTAGCAACGGCCACACATTTTGAGAGTTGGAGTCACCTCAAAAGGGCTGGACATGAATCCCCACCCAGACTATGTCCACCAAAGACCCCTCTTCAGATTCACACCCACATGTACATGAAACAAACCTAATGTCATCTGGCAAGTGGAGAAACCAAATCGTGTCAACTAGGTCCTCCAGTGGAGAGGTTAGAGTAAGTGTACCCATTTTTTCTGTCTATTTCAGTATGGGAACCCTCCCCACAAGTAAAAGGGCACTGGGGACCTAGTCCTGGGCCAGGCCCAGGGACCAGAAGAGGCGAAAAATCGAAGGCCTTGCCACCCACCATCTGCAGGCAGAACTGCGCGGTGTGGCGGTCGAAGTGACCACCTGGCGAAAATCGAATCCAGTCCGAAGTCCGAAGCAGTGGACATTTCCGCCGAAGGTTTTGCCTCAGCCCGAATTCAGTGAATGGTTTTGGTTTTTGATATCAACAATTTTAGCACGAATTCGATATCCGCTTTTGATTCATCAACTTTCGCAGCCTCAAAACAAGTTGTTGAGCTCCCCACGAGGGGCCGGGGTTCTGCAGGGGAGGGGTGTGCGCTCCCAAAAGTGTGGTTTGCTTACTAGATATTCAACCTACCAGGCCATAACCATGGCAAGCCAACTAACCCCAGTTAACCAGTTGGCTTGGTTGCCTTACCTGACATAGGTTGAAGATCCAAGCAAGCCCGGTGACTCTTTGCCCTGGTGGGCAACCAAGGGGACTCCCACCCTGAAATCAAAAGGACGTAACTGGGATCCGCTTCGAAGGGTGTAAATCACATTGGAAATTGGCGGACCCCCAAAGACACGCGGCTTCCCCGCTGGTTTCCCTCTAAGACCAAATGGGAAAAAATGCGGACCCAAATGGGGTTTTGTGGGTGGACCCCATAAACAAAACAAAAAAACCTTTGGCCTAACAGTGCCGACCCTAACGAAGTTCGGGCAAGGGGTTGACTGATGCCACGAAAGGCCAAGCATTGGCTCCTGCAGTGAGCTATTCTCTGGTGGTCGCGGGGATGCCTTGTCAAATGTGAATCTCTTGTTCAAGAACCAGAGAAAGCCTTCCTTCAAATGGAGGTGTCCAAGAATAGATGGTAATTTCCCGTAAGCGATGCTGCCACAGTTGGAAGTACCCCAAGGACTGGGTTGCTCGGCTGTGATCGAGCCGTTCCGAAGGCGCGCCTTTCCAGCCGCCGCCCTCGTTGAGCTGAAGCGCTTGCAGCAAAGCGTCGCTGTGCCTCAGGAACCTCGGGCCGCACGTCGCACACGTCGCACACGTCGCGCGTCGCGCAGCTGGAGGCGGGAGCCGGAGGCCCCGGTCTCTACGGGGTGTCCCATTTTGGGGGAGGCCTTTTGGCTTGTTTGCAGGCAATGGTTGAACAGGAAGTCTGGGAAAACGGCCAACTCACTCACCCCCGTGTGGAGGGCTGATAGCTGGTTTGAATACAACCATGCCGAGTCCTATCAACACAACACTCAGGTTGCTTTGGAGCTATGGAGGCTTGAAGACCAACAATAGAAGCTTGAAAGGTGGCATTTACCCCGAATATGTTTGGGGCACATAATCTACACCCCTCGAAACAGCACACTTTTGCAAACCTCGGCCAGCAAAGAAGCCGGCAACGCAAAGACCACATGCTCTCTGGTTTGTGGCTACGTGAGTGCCCAGTTCTTGCACTGGCAACAAAACCCGCGTTGGCCCAGAAGGCTCGGCGCACAAAACCAATCCCCCGGATAGCAACTTGGAAAGGAAGCCTCCGGAACACAGCCGCGTCGATTTGAACCAAAGGGCTCGATTGGGATACTTGGGGCAGATTACTGGGCAAATGCGTCCCAGTGCGCCAGTTGGGCGGCCCAGAACAACCAATTATAGATTGAAGTGCTTCTTTCCCAAACAACCAGGTTCTATGATCCGGTAGCCCATGTGACATTGAGTTGTCCAGGATACCCGGGTCAATACCTGCACCTTATCTAGGATACCTGGGGCTCCCGGCTGGCGATTGGCCACCCTGCCCAGACCTCGGTATCCACGGGAGCCTTTCGGAGCCTCAAAGTCGGACATGGGCAAATCGGCAAATCATTGCTACCCTTCCACTAACTCACCTGACAGGGGCCCATTGCTATGTTAGTGGGAGGGAGGGTAGCTAGCCCATAGATAGTCCCTAAGGACTCGGGACCCAAGAAGACGAGCTCGTCTTGCCAGTGTTTGAGAGGTTCATCCGTGGCAGGAGTCTCCCCATTCGGACTGCGAGCATCCAACTGTTTCCAGCGAACGACGAGTTGTTGACCAGAACCCTATGGTTGAAAAGTAAGAAGCATCAAACTAAGAATGTGGTCGCCAACTTGTAAAATGCTCCGAAACCCAATCGGCACAAAGGAGCCGGCTTTGCCGCGAAGTGGTCAACCCCCAAAATGGTTGATTTCTCTTTGAGCTTTCGGGTTAGAACTACCCCCAAGCCTAAGAAGCACACTCGCACACCACTGGGATTGCAGTTGTTCTGCAACAAGCAATCGAGGCAAAAAGGGCAAAGATCTCACAAGCATGCATGCCCAATTGTGTCAACAACCTGGTGGCTCCCCTAAGGACCAAGTTGCTCTCGGGTCTTACCTTGCCCCCGATCCTCGAGGGGTCCCCTGATCAGGACAGCTAAGTCCTTAGCAAGGGTAGACATGTGTTTCCCCCAAAATGCAACTGTGAATTCCCAGCATTCACTTGCACCTTCCATCATGCAAGCCGAACAAGGCGGGGCCGGAACAAAATTAAAATGGACAACATAGAAGGCACAATAAACAAAAAAGATGCAGGCGCTTTCGCGATTCGCGTTTTTGGAGGGACCCCAAAAGAAAGATACACACCCATTTGCCTAAACCACACAGATTGGACGTGCGGGCCACTCGGGTTCTGGCTGTTGGCAAAGCTGCAATCTTCTTGGACCTCAAGCGCTCACAAAGCGCTTGATGTCGCAGGATGTCTCGGCTAAATTGCAACTGGCTTCGACCACCCGAATCAAACATCCGAATCCCTATTTTAACGGACCTCTTAGCGTAGGAACTTGGAACTTACGGCCATTGGGCAAAGATGCGGCCATCATTTTACCAAATGGTACCAAGGCAATCTGGACTAAAATGATGGTACCGAATGTTCACCCGGATTTACTCCCTTCCTGGATAAGTCCGAAACGGAACTCGGTCGGAATGTCGCGCCATGTCGTGCCTCCTTTTTGGAGTCTTGGAGTTCTGGAGGGTGGTTTAAAAGGAAAACCAACAGGAAAAACATATTTTGCCCCCACCCCCTCCACTCAAAAAGACATTTGCCTTGTTTAGGAAGAGTGATTGAAAAGGGGACCTCACGTCACCCACAACCAGGATGACATCGGACACCGTGCGTCAAATTCCCAAAACGGATCTCACCGGAGGCCTCGAGGCACCGCCCTGGGCCGAGCGGCCAGCGCCTGTAGCTCGGATCGCTTCAGGAAGAGCAGGCGGCTCTCCGCCAGGACGCGGCAGGTGGACCGCGACGGCCTCAGCCACGGGGCAACGGCCCGCCCCCCGAAACGGGAAGCTCGGGAAGCTCGGAAAGGAAAGCCCGCCGAAAAGTTTGCTGGATCAAGGCTATTGCTTTTTTCCCCAACAGCTGAAAGCTTTGGGGTCTCAGCCCAGATAGGCTCCGGGGTGGTTCGGGGCGACCCTGAGCTAAGGTTCCACCAAGGTTAAGGGGTTCCACCAGGGTTCCACCAGGGTTCCACCAGGGTTTTACCAAGGTTCAGGGCAATGTGGTCTGCGGTGGTTTGGGGTGGTTTGAGGTAAGGTTCCACGAGGGTTCCACCAGGGTTCCACCAATTTCTTCGAGGGCTGCGGGTTTGAGGAAGGTTTCACGAGGGTTCCGCCAGGGTTCTGGGGTGGTCTGGTTTGAGGAAGGTTCCACGAGGGTTCCACCAGATTTCCACCAGAATTCTGCCAGGATTTCACCAGGTTCTGCGAGGGCTGCAGGGTGGTCCGAGGTGGTTTGAGGTAAGGTTCCACGAGGGTTTCCACCAGGGTTACACCAGCCCGTCGTGCTCCGGACGAGGGTTCCACCAGGGTTCCACCAATTTCTTCGAGGGTGCGGCGTGGTCCGGGGAAGGTTCCACGAGGGTTCCACCAGGGTTTCGCCAGGGTTCCACCAGCGGTCCGGGCTGGTTTGAGGTAATGTTCCATGAGAATTCCACCAGAATTCCACCAAGTTTTGCAAGGTAAGGTTCCATTCCAGCACGGTTCTAGCAGGGTCCCACGAGGTTCTGCGAGGGCTGCGGGTGGGCCGGGGTGGTTTGAGGTAAGGTTGTATGAGGGTTTCAGGGTTCCACAAGATTCTGCAAGGGCTGTGGGCCCTGAGGTTTCATAGGGTTCCACAAAGCTCTGCAAGGATTCCACACGGGTTCCACAAGGCTCCACAATGCTCCACCAAGGGTGTGTCGTGCGCCCGTTGTCTGAAAAGCCATCGGATCAAGATCGCTTTGCTCATGGGCGGAACACTAAGCAAAACGAAATCAATGGTTTTTAGCACACTTTCACTGTTTTGTGACTTGCTCACTTGCTCAGGCAAATGTTGGCTTTGTGGCAAATCAGATCACGTCGCTGCGGAACTCACGGTGCAGCAGGGTAAATGCTTGGCATTGCTGCTTGGTGGGCTTTGGGCTCCAAGAATTCCACGAGGCTATGAGGTCAGAAGGTTTCCAACAAATTCTGCAAAAGCTATGGGGCAGCCCTGAGGAAAGGTTCCAGCAAAGTTTCACGCTAAGCTCCACAAAAGTTGCGTGAGAATTGCGAGGTTCACTGGGCGACCGGGGCCCACCCGATTGCACCGTTTCGCCCCGATTGCACCGTCGGGCCCCGCGCCGTCGGGCCCCGATCGGGCCCCGATTTCGCAGCTTTGCTTTACAAGGCGGCATCCTCAGCAACACCGGCGGTAAGGATGGTTTCGGGGCGTTCCGCGAGGATTCTGGGAGGGTGTGGTGCTGTTGGGGATATCGCCCGAGCTTATTTTTTTCCCGGGCGGACTGATTGAAGGAGCGATCGCGTACTTACTTGGGTGTTCAACCAACTTAGTAAGGAGCATCCGGGTTAGCCCCCTTGTAACCATGGCTATAAGCTACTAAGTTAGTTGAATGCACAAGTAAATGGTTGTTCACCATGGCTAGAACCCACGGAGACTTGGGCTTACAACCAGGTGAACTTGGCTTGGCTCTTGGAGAGCTTGCTCGCTTTCGCGCTTTGATGATGGGGTCATCTTGTCCACGGAGTGGCGTGCTGTTGCAGCGGGAATCTTCCTTCAAGGCCGGCCCAGCGCCCGAGCAGGTCACAACAGTGTCAGCCTCGTGCTTGGAGCATCTTCTCTCGAGCTGATTTGGCGTGACAAGGCGTAAGGGACTTGATGACGGACTTCTGGGCGAAGCGACCGCGGATCACAAGGGCACGCCCGTGCCTCGTCTTTCAAGTACACCGCCCCCTTTAAATAGGATCCCTTGAACCTGAAATCGGGCCCCAATGCACCCAAAGGACCTCAACTGATAGGAGCTTGGGACAGGGAAGTCGAGGAATGCCTGCGGCCACAAAATTGGCCAAAGCAATGCCATGGTGAGGGGGGAGTGGGACGATGGCAGCCGCCTCACATTTTGCATCGCTTGAAAAAAGGCCTGCCCCGAAAGAATTCCTCCGTTTGATGTCTTGTTGCCGGAGTTGCCCATCTTTGGACTTCAAAATCAGGCCATCTTGACAGGAGCTGCACCCCACAAACCATCCTCAAAGAGCACTTGGATCCTTCGGACAGCTGTGGAAACAGAAGCAGAAGACTGACCCCCCCCATTATTGGTTGACTCCCTCCTTCTTTTTGGGGTGGGGTCAAAAAAAGGGAACCCCCGCAAAAAAATGAAGCTCAGGTGATATCCCCAACAGCATGCGTGCTCTTCTTAGTGCTCGCACCACCCCGCAGCCCTCGCAGAACCTCGTGAAACCCTGGTGGAACCCTGGTGGAACCCTCGTGGAGCCTTGCCGCAGGGCCGCCCCGACCACCCCGGAGCCTATCTGGGCTGAGACCCCAAAGCTTTCAGCTGGGGAAAAACCACTCCGCGCTCGACACTTGACACCCTTCTACCTCGGGCGCCAGCTCGTCGTAGAGCACACTCTCCAGGCCGGAGATGAACTCAGAGCTCCGGTTCCGTCGGGGCCAAAATCGGAATCGGACCCAAACAAAAGTTGCCTGGAGCGATCCAGTTGCGATCCTTTGTTTCAATGATTCAATGCACTTCACCTCATAGGAACAGTGACTGAAACAAGCAGCAACTTGGCTATCTAGCTGGCTTCCTTTGGTTTCCAAAAAAGGGGAAAGGATGGAAAAGGGTAAGATCGTCCTTGTGTTTCCGCTGCCAACCTTGGGAAAGGGTACCCTGAAAAGTCAGCAAACAGAGAATGAGGATGCACCCTCGTTTTCGGCCATCACCCCCCAAAAATTATTTGGTAGCTAAAGCCTTTGTTTGCTTGGCCAAACTTAGCTCCACTCCAGGAGCCGTGACAGTTGGTCCGTGATGGTAGTTTTGGGAAATATTCGCGTATGCTTCTGGCTTGGACGGTGCCATGTGCTTAAAAGGGCCAGGATATGTCAGGTCAGCTTCCCTATTGGGACTATCGCTACCTTCATCTATCCGGATTGTGACTGGCCTAGATGACGATCCCTTGGATCCTTTTGGGAGACCATTTGTTCGGTTTCCGTGCTAGGTTGCAGAGGAGTATCGAGGACCATGCTCCTTTGGGGGAAAGTGCTGGAGTATGCGTCGGAAACAAGTTGGACACCCTGTGGGGCCCAGTGATCAAGGGCATCTTCAGGCATAGGTTTTGCAAGCGTGGATGTGTTGTTTTTTGTTTTTTTAACCACCAATATTAGCCTGACAGGCTGTATACACTCTCTACATATTGGGTATCAAAATCTCCATACCTCCGAAAGATACCTGAAACTGCTCTTGGCCAGTGTCTGCTTCTTTTCGCCCTTTGTGGGGATAGTGTCCGGCTAAAGGCTGCGGCCTTGGAAGTTTGGAAGCCCCAGCCTCTGGGACATATGTATATATATATATATACATATACATGTATATATGTATATATATATATGTATAGAACATTCAATATTTATATATATATATATATGATATTCAATGGATATACCCTATACTTTGGGCAATGCAGTCTTGGCAAGCCTTTCGGTCAATTCGTAGCCCCGAAAACTCCCTCACCATGTTTGCCTGAGTCGATGCTTAAAGCCAAAGTCCAACCAATCCCTGCGCACAGCAGCGACCAAATGAACAAACAATCACGGTTTCCGTTGATTTCAAATTCCACCCCAAAAAAAACAAAAACGCAACAATGCAACAATATGAAATAACATGAATAATTCGACACAATAACATACGACATGCAGAAACAAAACAGAAAAGAAACCCGGGGGCCCAACCAATAATTCCCCAAAACCGTGGTGGAACCTATCTGCAACGTCGCAACGACTTCAAGTGGGCGCCCGGCGCCCAAGCGGTTCAGACTCACCTGATGGGTCCAGGGACTTGGATGTTCGACTCGCCAAGTGGGTTTTAACCCACGAATGACTGAATTTACAATGGTTTAACCCCACTTGAGGCTCATAGCATACCATGTCTGTCATGTTTGGTAATCATATGACAGGCATTGGCTGCAACTCTGGCGAATGCAGGGCCCCAAGCCCTAAAAAAGGAACGTCTGGCGATCCCTCTCGCTCTCTCTGTCTCTTTCGGCATTCTTCAGGATCCCTTTCGGCTTCTCTGCAAATGCCGACCAAACGGGGTCTCATTTCGAGACAGAAACTCCATTTGGGATTTGTCATTGGGGTGACGATAAAGTTGGCTTTAGCGGGAGAGTAATTCTGGCTTATCAGGCTCCAAATTTGGGAGTGTCTTGTTGTAAGGCTCCTGAAGCTTTCTGGGGCTGCAGCGTTGTGGAAAGCACCAGCAAACCACATTTCAGGGATCGCCCCCCATTTGGAGACAAGCCCATTTGTGCTTGCCAGGGATCATACCCTGGGAAATTAATCCAAAACGGGCCAATCAAATCAGTGCATAAGCATATGAGCTTTATAATTCCCTACCAGTCTTTCCGGCTAGGTTCTTACATTTGCCAGTTTTCGCTTGTGAAGCATGGGTGCATCTCAAAATGGCAAGGGTCTCATTGTTGGGTCCCTAGACATACCCTTCGAAGGTCTGACATCCGTGACCATCCCTGTCAAACTTGCGATCGGTGGATTTGAGAGATGCTGCGATCGGTCCCTGAGAAATGGAGTCTGACCCGTCGAAAAGAAACCTTCCACTGGTGCTTTCCTTTGAGGGAATCCCGTGGGCAAGCACATGCCTACAAACCATCCAGGTGGTGTCCCCGAAACCGAAATCATTCCATGCCTCATTCCCTACTTCTCGCTGCAAGACATGCAAATCACTGGGCCAATCGCCCAGAAAACGGCTTCATTCCATTTCTCATTCCCGTATCGCAGCCAGCAAAAGATCCAGGTGTTTTCAGACACATGACTTTCATTCGCTGCGAAGCCCCCTGGAACAGCAGCAAGTCCATCAGGAGCGCCTCCTGCTCGGCGCCGCAGCTGGAGCCCACGTCCACCGTCTCGGAGACCTGCGGCGACGGGAAGATCGCAAAGGACGGTTGGAATGGGGTAAACACAGGGAACCCTCAGGGAGGGAAACAACCTTTGGACAACCATTTGGGTGTGATTTGTTTAGAGTTGGCATCCCCTTCAGGGTGGAAAGGAAAACCACCACATTTTGGCGGTTGGCCCGTTTTAGACACATACCCATTTTAAGGGTATCCCAGAAGCACAGCGCATGTTGCAAAAGAAGGTGGCAAACAGCTTGGCAACCATGCTCAGTAGCATGTTTGGGATAGCTTTGAATGGAAAACAAAGGGAAGCCCCCCCCCCTTTCGGGAGTCCACAAAGATGATTCCATGAGCGAGGTCACTTAGGGACACAAGTCTTGCAGTCCCTGAAAGGAACTTCTTGGGAGGTCCCTATGTGGGGTCCCATTCGACATAAGAAGCAACTTCAACACAGGAAGCTGCCTCCAAGTCTGGAGGAAACTGTACCAACGAATGCTTCGACAAAGAATCAGCGCCCATATGGGTGCGTCCAAAGGTGAGTTCCCGTCTAAGCAAATATATGCCACGGCTTTGCCAAGTGAAAGAGAACTAGCTCAAAGACGAGAGCTACCGAATGGCTTGGGATGGCTTGAAAGCAACCCTGGCCTTCCCAAGGCTCTCGGTTGCGCTTCGGACCGAACCGGCTCGCTGCGATGCTGAAGCTGTGCACGTGCCGGTGGAAAATCGCTGGAGAGCAGAGGTGCAGATCCGAGGCTCCAAGGTGCGCTGCTCCCACGGCAGAGCCAGAGGCGCGCTGGGTGACAAGGATGCAGTGCAGGAAGAGACACGGAAACAGATCTGCTACCAAGAGCTAGAGGGCAGAGCTGCAGCAAGAGCCAGGGAGGCAAGGTGCGTTATAATCAAAACCCGGTATCAAAATGGTCGCAATCCCAGAACCATGCAAAGAATTGACAAGGCAGGCGCACCCATTTCTGACCCGGGTTTTGATTGTGACTCAGGTCATCACCAGGGTACTGAACCACCGAACTGAGAAGCCCCTTTGGCGTGTCTTTTCTGAGGGTTCCCCTTTTCTGGCTTTGAAGGGAAACCAAGAGGAGAACCGTTGGGCTTACCTGGCGGTCCCTGACCAAGGGGTTCTTTGCCATAAGTAGACATACCAGAAACAAGAGATACATACCTGCCATGTATGAAGTGTATCAAAAAGTGTACACGGAATTTAGCAACACATGATGAAACACGTTAGTAGCAAGAAAGTGGATAAATAAATCAATAAATGCCTTAATAAATGATTTGATTTAATTAATTAATTCATGAATGAATGAATGAAGTAATGAATGAATCAACGAATGAATGAATGAATGAATGAATGAATGAATAAATTAATGAATGAATGAATGAATGAATGAATGAATGAATGAATGAATGAATGAATGAATGAATGAATGAATGAATGAATGAATGAATGAATGAATGAATGAATGAATGAATGAATGAATGAATGAATGAATGAATGAATGAATGAATGAATGAATGAATGCATGCATGCATGCATGCATGCATGCATGAATGAATGAATGAATGAATGAATGAATGAATGAATGAATGAATGAATGAATCAATGAATCAATGAATGAATGAACGAATGAATGAATGAATGAATGAATGAATGAATGCATGCATGAATTCATGAATGAATGAATGAATGCATGCATGCATGCATGGACGAAGGAATGAAAGAATGAATGGATGAATGAATGAATGAATAAATGAATGAATGAATAAATGAATGAGCGACTCAGTTAACAAACAACGAACAAACAAACTAATGACTGACTGAGTGAATCAATGAACGAAAGAATGAATGAATTAATGAATTAATGAATGAATGAATGAATGAATGAATGAATGAATGAATGAATGAATGAGTGAATGAAACAATGAATCAATGGATGAGTGAATGAGTGAATGAGTGAATGAGTGAATGAGTGAATGAGTGAATGAGTGAATGAGTGAATGAGTGAATGAGTGAATGAATGAATGAATGAATGCATGAATGAATGAACGAATGAGTGAGTGAGTGAGTGAGTGAGTGAGTGAGTGAGTGCGTGAATGGGTGAGTGAGTGAGCGAGCCAGCGAGTGAGTGAGTGACTGAGTGACTGAGTGAGTGAGCGAGCGAGCGAGCGAGTGAATGAATGAATGAATGAATGAATGAATGAATGAATGAATGAATGAATGAATGAATGATTGAATGCATGCATGCATGCATGCATGCATGCATGCATGAACAAAGGAATGAATGAATGAATGGATGGATGAATGAATGAATGAATGAATGAATGAATGAATTAATGAATGAATTAATGAATGAATACATTAATGGATGAACAAACAAATTGGCCAAACAAAGAAATTGCCATATGATTACACACATAAATATGTATATCCCTAAGCGTCGTGGGGCCTCAACAAGGCCTCTTTTGAGGAGTAACACCTTCCAATGAACGGAGGGTCCCATGATGCTCTGGAGATATGTGTTTTCTGTTATATATCGATATATATATATATATATATATACACATACACATATTTAATCAACATATGTATATATATATATAGGTATATTGGGCGAAAGCCCGATACTTTGTGCCTTACCAAATCACCAAATCGAGATGTCCCATTCTCGCGCCTTGCTGTACTTGGGCACAGCGATGTACATGGCCTGCTCCAGCATGCCTGGCGGCTTTATCGCACCAAAGCATTGGAGGGGCCTCGATTCGCTGTGAATAGCAGCACCTTCCCCCGCCCCCCCCCCCCCCCAAACCCAAGAGAGTTGGACAAGATGCGTCTTTGCTGTGGTAGCCTGGAACAAGGAAAGAATCATCGGGCGATATGAAGGGGTTGGCCACTGAAGCAGCCAACTCTTGGATGATTGGGTCAGTACAGCTTTAAACGGAAACCAGGAGCAAACCAACCCATCGGTTCGTCAGGGAATACAAAAAATGAGGCAGCGACCACGTTGCTATGTTAAGTGCGGTTGAGCGGGTCGCCCGGCCTTTCGTGGGCGCAAGGGGGAGGGAGGATTCTGGGCCAAACCAGCTCAAAGAAGTGAGAGCCCAAGGCGGCAAGAATTGGATACTGTGGAACATGAAACACACTCGCGACATTCTTTGGCTCAAGACGCATCGAAAAAGAGGTGCGCTGCAGTTTTTACCCCTTAGAAACAACTGCCAACAAATACAATTGGTTTGCACACCCAAAGGTACCTTCCGAAAGCCACATAGTCTCAGGCGGCTTCTACGACTTTTCTGCGGGTTAGCCGCCTGAATCCCGCCCGATTTTCCAAGAAAAACACGAAACTCATAGCAGAGATCTCAAGACTGTCACCCCGGGATCTTGTCTTTTTTGCACCAAAGGGTGCTTCGGAATTCCAGCACTGACCCCGCGTTTAACAGATTCAGACGTGCTAAATAGGTTGACAAGCTGCCGGTTCGTGGGTTGATCCCTTTTGAAATGCGGGGGTTGATCCATATTCTTGGTCAAATGACCAAAACAACCCCCCCATGTGGGAAACAATCTCAGCCCCCAATCATCCGTGTAAAGGACCCTGTGATCAACCCCCATGTGGCAAAACATGAATCCAACAAAGGCCTGGATGTGTGACAACTCTGTGGATTTCAGTCACCTTTTGGAACTGCCCAAGGAGATTCCATGAAATCATTCTTGGGGAGAGACTCGACTGCAGTTCCCAGAAGCGGTTGAGCCCCAGCCTCAAAGAGAACGGACCGAGTGAACGGCTAACCTTGTATTCATCTCTTCACCCTAACAAGAACCCCTCCCTTCCCCTATTAATAAATACCGTCTGGGATAGGCCGCATTGATGTAAGGGGGAACGGATTGCACTTCCATTTGCTTAAGTCCCATGGACAAAATGAGAACAGATGTCCAGTAGTGATAGATTCCCTTCCAACATGGGAGCGATAAAAGGATTACTCTTAAGCAAATCCAAGTATATGAACCTAGAAGAAATCACACTGTTGGCGGGTCGCTTTGGCGAAACACTAAAGTTACCACCCACCAATCCATTGGTCCATGGCAACCCGAAGTGGCTAAGAACACTCAAAAGGTCGCCCTGGCAAAGACGACTTTCAGCGATGGCATGGACTCGACTGGACCAGGCATCCCAGTCGTCAAGAGACTGCTGCGTCACAATGTGCGGAGAGTGGGTTCTAGGCGCGCGCCGGCCTCCCTTTGCATGTTCACTCCTCCTCTCCTTTGCTTTTGGACGTGCTTCTCAGTTTTGGGGGTATTCTGGCGTTGAACACGCCGACAGCATGTCACTCGCTGTATCTAGCGCACTCTGAGTTTGTAGCTGCCATGCATACATTGGATGGACTAATCCTACACCAAAGGCGTATTTGATAGGGTTTCCTCCATCCTAACCGGTGAGTGGTACATTTTGCCCGGATGACTTTTGATCCTCATCTAACCCTGCAGAATACCAACCAGTAAGAAGGGCGTCATACCATATTACTGTACTACGGATTGGCAGGATTCCTGGCAGCTGGTACCCAAAAGACTACCCCGCTGAGCTCGCGCTAAAATGGCAGATGCCATGCTCCATTCGTATCCCCTAAAGATCTCATTTCGAACTTGGGTCATCTATTCCCATGTTGCTAAGCGAGGGGTGATATCACCCAAATGACCGGGTTGTATCATCTAAATACTTTCATTCCGGAAAGTTGCTCATGTTCCAGAAGTTCAAAGCAACTCAACCAGGCTTGTTAACCAAGTTGCCTCGGCCTCCCTTTCGACCTTGCCTTCACTGGAAATGGTTGTCCTCTACCCCGGGGGCACTCCGAAGGTCTCCGAAGGGCCAGAAAGAGAGATTGCCGATTTGGGTCGTCGATTCGCCCGGGTGATATCCCCGGAACTTCCGAACCCTCGGAACCCGAAGCCCTCCGCTGGAATCGCCGGCCTTGGCGAGCTAGCCGGGTGCCGACTGGCTTCCTCAGAGAGATTCGAAACCGAAAGGCCCTGGGTGTTCCCCGGAACGACTAGAATTCGAGAAACTACTAGGTCAAAAGGTCTAGTGAGAGATCACTCGAAGGTATCTTTCTTTTGTGGGCTTAAAGCAAGAAACTGCTAAAGGAAAACCCACCGTCGGTGAGTCCAAATCCCGAACAGGACACACACACACAGCAGGGTTTCCCCGACAATGAATTGCACTAACCCTGAGAGTCCTACCTTCCCAAGAGGAACTTTGTCCCCGGCCCCTGGACAGGCGCGCCCCACGAATCCCACGAATCGCGGCATGGCTCGTGCGGTCGCTCTCGCGTCGAGTTTGTCGCCTTCACAACAAGTCGAACATCGCCTGTGCGCGGCAGCTGTCGCCCCCGTAGAGCGGCTTGCCCCAGGTCACCACCTGGACTTCGAAACTGGAGACCAGAATCCGAAACCACAAAGGGGTGGGAAATCTTTGAGGGGCTGTGCGAATTTGTGGGGATTTTGGGGGATGTAGAGATTGATTGGTCAAAGCCCCACAAAAACATGGGCCGTTTGGAGTTCTGGCGATGTGTCATTCAAATGTGCAGTATGGGGGAGTAATGGAGCTGGGGTAAGGGACTTCTGGTTCAAGACCACCAAAAAGGTATCCTGCCCGTGGCTCATGTGCTAATAGTGGTTCAAACTCTGCAAATGCGTGGCATGGTCATGTTTATTGTTTTTTGTTTGCTTGTTTGCTCAAGCAGGGCGTTTGGCTATAGCACACACGCGCCCTGGCTCGATGGTGGATTCCCGAACTATTGCAAATGAATCAAGCAACAAAAACCCTTTAAGGTCTCATGAATTGATGGACACTACGAGAACTTTCCTTGCCTACTTGCAAGGGGTCGACCAGGCTTCATGTTTCACAAAGGACACGTTACATCTTTTACCATTGGCTTCCAACCAACATGACAACAATGGGGGGTAATCATGCCAACCCTGGAAGCAAAACATGCTTTTGGCAGCCGGTAACGGTGTGTTTTTTTCCTAGGGCTGGGTTTTTCCTAGGACTGGTTTTCCGCAGGGCTGGCCACATCCCCAGCATCACAAGCCTCGCTTGGCTTTGGGGTTGCCTGATTGGGTGGCAGTTAGGAGTTGCTGCTGGGGGCTGGTTTAAGTTAGGGGGATTTTGGCTGCCTCAGATCTTCATGAAGGTGGGTCTTGGGTGGTTTGGGGTTGATTTAGGCGAAGCGAAGGGCTGACATCCAGGCTGCTGTTGGGCGGGTTCTTTGAGTGGGTTTGGGTTGGTTTGGAGCTGATTTGTGTAGTGGTGTGCTGCTGGTTTAGCAGCGGCTTTAGGGTTGCTTTAGGGTGTGGTTAAGTGAGTTGTGGACGAGTTTTGGTGGTTCGGGGCAACGCCCCAAAAACGATCCGAAACGAGACCAAAACTCAGTTAACCACACACCCTAAAGCAACCCTAAAGCCGCCGAAACTAGTAGCACACCTAACACAAATCAGCTCCACACCAACCCAAACCCTCTCAAAGCCAACCCCAAACCCTCTCAAAGCCAACCCCAAACCCACCCAGCAGCCTGGTCAGCCCTTCGCTTCGCCTAAATCAACCCCAAACCACCCCAAGACCCACCTTCATGAATCTAAGCCAGCCAAAAGCCCCCCTAACTTAAACCAGCCCCCAGCAACTCCGAACTGCCACCCAATCAGAGCCAATAGGCAACCCCAAAGCAAAGCGAGGCTGGTGATGCCGGGGATGCGGCCAGCCAGCCAGCCAGCCAACCCACCCACCCACCCCCCCACCAACCAACCAACCAGGGGACCAGCCCTAGTAAAAACAAAAACTGCTCTAGGAAAACACAATAACACCGGATCCTTTGGCAGCCCCTCCCGCCCACTCTAAGCACATGCCAACAACAGCGTGGGCCATGTAGCCACCATAGTGGGCCATCTGTGAAGCTTGTCCCGGGGCGCGCCGTTTTTGTTTCGACACCTCTGTGACGAACCCGGGGAAACTCATCCGGGAACATCGCATCGGGGCCGCCGAAGAAGCACATCTTGCTCCAAGGCTTCCTGCTCGAGGATCTCGATGTTGTACGCACTTGCGCTGTTTGGTTTTGTTCTTTTGTATTTTCTCCGCAGAAACCAAGTACTGGAAAAAGCTTGGATTTTCCACATGTCCCTCAAATGCTGGTGAGCCTGGCACGTTCTTGATGGCTATATATACATATCTCAATGGCTCTTGCACCTGGCTGCTTTTGTCACAGGTGCAGAGTCCAGAATGGCAGCAAAAGCAAACCCAGTCGATTGAATTTGCTGGACAATCACCAGCAGTTCTTGCACCTGGCTGCTGTCTCCGCCGAAACGTGGATCACCCCATGTCGCAACAGCTCCGGAGTCAAGAATTGCAGCAAACACACCTAAGCTAATTGCTTGAATCTGCTGCACATCCCTCAGCTGCTCCGCGCTGCTGTCTCCGCCGTAACCAGGATGACCCCGTATCACGACAGCCCCAGAGTCTAGAATGGCAGCAAAAGCACGTTCAGTCGCTTGAATTTGCTGGACATTCACCAGCAATGCTTGGACTTGGCTGCTGTCCCCGCCGTAGTATGCATGACCCCAGGTCACAACAGCTCCAGAGTCTAGAATGGCACAGCTGATTGAATTTGCTGGACATTCCTTAGCCTGGCTGCTGTCTCCGCCATAGAGTGAATCGCCCCATGTCACAACAGCTCCAGAGTCTAGAACAGCAGCAAAAGCACGCTCAGTCGCTTGAATTTGCTGAACGTTCCTCAGTTGTTCCTGCACCTTGCTGCTATCTCCACCGTAGTCTGCCAAACCCCAGGTCGCGACAGCTCCGGAGTTCAGAATGGCAGCAAAAGAACGATCAGTCGCTTGACTCTGCTGGACATTGCTCAGCTGTTCTTGCACTTGGCTGCTGTCCCCGCCGTAGTCTGCGTGACCCCAAGTCACGCCCTTGCTTCCTGGATGTACAGAGCGAATGCTCTGTGGTGGCAGCCTGGACAGGCTGCACAACCGCATCTACTAAGTCCCCATCTCGCAAGCCGGCTTGGCTCAGCGTGGCCGTCAGATCAAGCGGCTGGCCTTTTGCAAAAAGCTTCAGGAAGCCGCGCTGGAAATGCTGCTGCGCTGCAGCCTTCAGCTCCCTGATGGGCGTCTCCGGTGAGAGTGAGATTGAGAAACCGCTCCCACTTAGCAAGTGAACTTCTACTTGCATGGCGCCTCGTGGCTCTGTGCGAAATGCAGGCCACCCGGTTGACAAATGCGTGTGTGTGTGTCTAAGTGTGTGTGTGTGGGTTGGTTGGTGGGTGCGTGTGGGTTTCTATGTGTGTCTCTGTATGTGTTGTGCGTGTACGGTTCAAGTCTCTCTAAGCTATAGCTGGTGTCTTCAAAAGCCAAAGCCCTGCGAACCGCATTGATTTCACGAAGGACTCTGGTCGCGGCACAGCGCTTTGCGTGCTAGCTTGGAGGGTTCTGATCCAAGCACACCTCGGCCAAGGAATTCTGTAAGCCTGTGCACCGATTCCCATCCAGTTGGGCAATCGTGCTGCGTCCATGATCTGATGGCGCGGGGTTCAACGGGTCCAGCTTGAACTCTTCGGGTTTGTCTCCACTAACCCAACATGGGTGGGTGTTCTCCTTGGTTTTCCGCAAGCAAAATCAGAAGGTAAGATAGATTCCCATGCTTGATTGCAGCAAGCATGTCTGGGTGTTTAAAAGTTGGTCGCCCTTAAAAACACATCCAACAAGGGTGCACAAAAACGTGCTTCAAAGGGTTTGGTTACAGTTGACCTTCTGGGGGATCTTTGCGCGGCTGGAGTACATTTGCTTAAGGCGATTGTTGAAATGCTGGGGCTCTCCTATTGCTTCAAACAATATCCTGTTGGATTCCCTTTTCATTGAGGGCCACAGGGTCGCTTCCTAATTTCAGGGCAAAATAACCAAGTGAAAATCAGCGTCCCACATTCATTCCTCAGATTCATGCATGGGGCCCGTGAACAAACCTGCAACCTCTGCTTGCTTGCACAGCTTGCCTTGATCCTCTCGACAGAGTCTCACCCTTGAAACTTGCAGGCCCTTGTTCAGTTCATGGTACTACTTCTTCAGTGTCTTTTTAGGGCCCCCTTTGCGCTCGTACACTCGGTGAGCTCGGAACCCATAACATAGGCAGGGATAAAGCCAGGCATTCTTTTCCCACAGATACTCCACCTGGAGTCTCCATAACCCTTTCAAAGTTGGAGTCATTACCGCCAAAATGGGGTCCCAATTTTGAGATAGAGAAGGACTCCAGGTAGATCAACATATACGAATAGCATAATGTACATACACACACGTCTATATAAGTACCTAAATATCTATTTATATACATAGTCGAAAACACCACAACTCAAAACCAAGTTTTTGGTTGGAGACCCCCCGCTCAGCGGGCCCTTGGCCTTCGCCCCTCCCCGAAGTTCGCCTCCCCGTGTTGGCGGATGGCGCAGAAGGCCCCGAGGCGCGCCGCCTGCAGAAGGCGCACGGAAGTCAACGACTGCCCCGCGCCGAAGTCCGGGTAGCCCCAGGTCACCACCGTGCCATCCTCCGTTGCTTGGCGGCTGGTGGGGTGCTGAGTGCTGGCGAAGGGGCGATGGACAGAGCCTGAGAAGACCCTTCCCCTCTTGAAATTTCGGGTCATAGTTTGCTAGTGGATGGCCGTAAGGTTTGCTGGGGGTGTCTGTCCCAAGGAGTCGTAGAGTAGTGGTCGTGGGCACGCTTCATTTGGTTCTGATGTCCGTGTTTGACCTTTCTTAGTTCTCAAAGGCATCTATGACTGTGACTGTGGGGGCTCCGAGGTGGCCTATTTTGCAACCTGGGGTTGCAAGCATGGGCATGATGCGGGGGCTGGACTTGGATCCAGGGCCTTGAATTTGGGCGTCAAAAGAAACCTAGAGGAACACCGAAATCCATTTCGGGGGGCCTCCTGAAAAATGGCAGACCCATCTCCCCCTTGTAACGGGGTCCTGCCACTCGGCATTCGAATCCATCCAGAACTTTCCTCTATGACCCTAAAATGGGCTTCCAGGTTTCCGGCTAGCCGGCCCTTGGACCCTTTTTCTGCAAAAAACAACCAGAACGCTGCTGGACCAAAAAACAAATCCAATAGATCAGGTCACCCTTAGTTGGTGGCTTGGATTGGTGGGAATTGAACCCTTGCTTCTTGTAGAGGGTAAATGGGAAACCCCTCAACCACGAAATCATCGATTCGGCACCACCAAATTGCTTCAGGAACCAAGGGAAGCCCCAAATCCAGGTCTCCCGATCCCCATCAAATCGCCACAGCTCCAGGAAAGACAATGAGGGAACCCCCAAGGCGGTGTATCCCTTCAAAAGGCCCCCCTCAAGGCGTCGAAAGAACCCAAAGATCTCTTTCCGCAGGGCGTTGAGTTCCGAACGCAACCAACCGACCGACCAACCGACCGACCAACCGACCAACCAACCGACCGACCGCCCAACCGTCAAAGCCAAAAACGTAAACAAGCAAACAACTGAATCAACCTTAACCATCATGGCAGTAAAAAGAACAAGTCAAACCACTTTTTCGTGTACGTGTGGGTGTGTGTGTGTGTGTGTACGCGCGCCAATGTGAGGACAAGCGTTGGCCTCGGGCCTTCAGAAGACAAATGTGTGTTTCGTTGTTGAGGGTACCCTTGTTTCAGATTAGTTAGGAAAACCAATGCAAGACCAAAAGGAGATCGAAGACATCCTATTTTCTTGGGTCCCCCTATTTTTATGCAAACCCATACTATATATATACATATGTAGAAGAATAATAGTAACAATAATAATAACAATAATAATGCTAATGATAATAATGATAATATGTCTATATATATATTTCCCACATGTATGTGCATTTCTCTCTAATTCTACATATATATATATGTAGGTATATGTATATGTAAATATGATTACATACATACATACATACATACATACATACATACATACATACATACATACATACATACATACATACATACATACATACATACATACATACATACATACATACATACATACATACATACATACATACATACATACATACATACATACATACATACATACATACATACATACATACATACATTACATACATACATACATACATACATACATACATACATACATACATACATACATACATACATACATACATACATACATACATACATACATACATACATACATACATACATACATACATACATACATACATACATACATACATACATACATACATACATACATACATACATACATACATACATACATACATACATACATACATACATACATACATACATACATACATACATACATACATACATACATACATACATACATACATACATACATACATACATACATACATACATACATACATACATACATACATACATACATACATACATACATACATACATACATACATACATACATACATTACATACATACATACATACATACATACATACATACATACATACATACATACATACATACATACATACATACATACATACATACATACATACATACATACATACATACATACATACATACATACATACATACATACATACATACATACATACATACATACATACATACATACATACATACATACATACATACATACATACATACATACATACATACATACATACATACATACATACATACATACATACATACATACATACATACATACATACATACATACATACATACATACATACATACATACATACATACATACATACATACATACATACATACATACATACATACATACATACATACATACATACATACATACATACATACATACATACATACATACATACATACATACATACATACATACATACATACATACATACATACATACATACATACATACATACATACATACATACATACATACATACATACATACATACATACATACATACATACATACATACATACATACATACATACATACATACATACATACATACATACATACATACATACATACATACATACATACATACATACATACATACATACATACATACATACATACATACATACATACATACATACATACATACATACATACATACATACATACATACATACATACATACATACATACATACATACATACATACATACATACATACATACATACATACATACATACATACATACATACATACATACATACATACATACATACATACATACATACATACATACATACATACATACATACATACATACATACATACATACATACATACATACATACATACATACATACATACATACATACATACATACATACATACATACATACATACATACATACATACATACATACATTACATACATACATACATACATACATACATACATACATACATACATACATACATACATACATACATACATACATACATACATACATACATACATTACATACATACATACATACATACATACATACATACATACATACATACATACATACATACATACATACATACATACATACATACATACATACATACATACATACATACATACATACATACATACATACATACATACATACATACATACATACATACATACATACATACATACATACATACATACATACATACATACATACATACATACATACATACATACATACATACATACATACATACATACATACATACATACATACATACATACATACATACATACATACATACATACATACATACATACATACATACATACATACATACATACATACATACATACATACATACATACATACATACATACATACATACATACATTACATACATACATACATACATACATACATACATACATACATACATACATACATACATACATACATACATACATACATACATACATACATACATACATACATACATACATACATACATACATACATACATACATACATACATACATACATACATACATACATACATACATACATACATACATACATACATACATACATACATACATACATACATACATACATACATACATACATACATACATACATACATACATACATACATACATACATACATACATACATACATACATACATACATACATACATACATACATACATACATACATACATACATACATACATACATACATACATACATACATTACATACATTACATTACATTACATTACATTACATTACATTACATTACATTACATTACATTACATTACATTACATTACATACATACATACATACATACATACATACATACATACATACATACATACATACATACATACATACATATTTGGCTGAAGCCTTGGTTCGAAGCATTCCACCGAGTGACGCTTTGGATGGTGGCGAAAGCGCCCTCGGTGGCCTTCAAGTGTTGCACGTCCGTGAGCTCTTGGATCTGGCTAGCATATGCCGGGAGACCCCCGGTCAGCACCTGGGTCGGGAACATTTTGGGTCTCGGAGGTTCCTTTTGGTTGGGAGCGGTTTTCAAGGAAAACACACTGCTTAGCCATGGATCCGACTTAGAGGCGTTCAGTCGTAATCCAGCAGATGATAGCTTCGTGGTCCGTGGTACACTCACACATCTTGGGGCAATATGTTTGTGCTTTTCGACTTAAAAGGGGAACCGGGTCTGAGCCGTAACTTTTGCGAGCGGCAACCAGGATGCTTCAAACGGACCCATGAGACTCAACCCCGCCATGACCACGTGGGGCAGGATACTAGTTTAGTAAAACCTAGATGTATACCCACTTTGCAAACAGGACGGTTGGACAGTCCCAAAAAACAGCTGATTTGAATTGGGAAACCACAACAAAGAAGATGTACCGGATTGCCCAACTGAACAGCCGGGTTCCGAACCTCTCATCTGTTTGTAAGTTTGCTCTCTGTGAACTCAACACGCACAAATCTGGCTGTTTACTCCCCACTATATACACGCCTTTCCACCGTTCAAAGGAACCCAACACAAGTAGCTCCACTTTACCTTCTCCACAAAACAGTCAGTTGGTTTGCTTTTGATTTGGGGCACCTTGCCATCCTTAAGCAAAACAGAGCACAACAAGCTAGGTAGAATCGCTTGTGGTTTGTTTTAAACACGGCTTGTTTGTTTGATTGTTTGCTTGGTTGGTTTGTTGTTAGTTTGCTTGTCGTTTGATTCGAGGCACTTTGCCATCCTGCAGGATGGCCGCAAACGCGAAGTCCGTCGCCTGGATGTGCTGGGCCTGTGTCAGCTGCGTGCGCACCGCGCTGCTGTTGCCACCCCCCGGTAGATGGCCCCAGGTCACCACCTTGCCGTTGCCGCAAACGGCGGCAAAGGCATGGCGAGTTGCTTGAATCCGCTGAACCTGCGGTGGAGCAAAATCAGACCGCCCCACTTCAAGTTTACAACAACATGGCATATGTTTGCATGTTCATATAGTTTGATACACTGCTTCTGACAATGCTAAGAAATCTGCTTGAACAATACTTGGCGTCAACAGAACCAGTGGCCATTGTTGGGCGTGATATGGGTGGCTCTACGCGGAGCCTATATAAAAGAGAGTCCCTAACTGACGGTGGTCCCCGAAGCTGCCGAACAACACGCTGGTGCAAAATCGGCTTGAAAGGGAGCCAAACGGTGCGGTTGAAAGGGGTTCCGGGCCAAGGTTGGCTTAAAAAGGGGGTCAAATCCCAAGCCAATCCAAACCACCCACTATTTATAGTCCCAAGCCAGTCATCTTTGCACCAGACTGATGGCTTGGAGGTGGGTGGTTTGAAGGTCCTACAAGTTGCTAGTCACCCACCGGAGACCCTTGCAAGTTGTGCCCCTTACCCATGCGGAAAATGAACATTGGTAGATCATGGTTGAAAGGGTAGGGATTTCCAAAGGGCACTAACGGGCACTAACAGGCACCCTTGCGATCAAAAAACAATATACTGGATTGGTCTGCTTGTTGCAAGTTGCAATGCCCCTTGCCTGTGTCAGCTGGTCTTGGACATGGCTGCTGTCTCCGCCCTTCCTGGCATCGCCCCAAGTCACGACTTTGCCATCATCTTTGATGGCGGCAAAGGCGCGATCAGTTGCTCGGATCTCTTGGACTCGTGTTAGCTGCTCCTGCACCTGGCTGCTGTCTCCACCATAGGCGGGATTGCCCCAAGTCACCTCAGCCGATCCAACCACCCCCCGTCCGAAACCCGAAATCCATTTCTTGGGGGGAGGGGTTCTCCGATTTTAAGACACAGCCATTTGGTCGCACCGTGACGCCAGCCATGTCACCACGGTACCGTCCACCTTGATGGCGGCAAAGGCAGGGTCAGTGGAGTGGAGTTGCTTCACATGTCTCAGCTGATCTTGCACCCGGCTGCTGTCTCCACCTCAGTGGATCGCGAAGACCGTGAAGATGGTTTCATGGAACGAACAAAACCCTGGAGTACTCTTCTGAGCATTTCAAATGGGATCGCCCTAAAGAAAGGGCCCATATTCGAAGGGTCAGAAGGAGACTCCAGGAAGACGGTTCCTAGGATTTGTTGGTTGACTTTTAAGGGACACTCGTTCTAGCATGTCCCAGCAAAATCAAAGCTTCCAATAGAAACCCTTTCTGGAGAAAGACGCAAGACTCACATGGAAGCACCTTGAAGAAAAATAACAAACACCTATTGTGGATGGACGCAATCCTGCACCATGTTGAAACAATGGGAAACAAGTATTTGCTGGTATTTACAGGGGAATTGAATCATCCCAAGCTTTGTTCCCATCCACAGTAGCACTCTGCAGCCGGGCCACCATAGGCCGGATTCCCCCAGGTCACCACTGTGCCATCCTCCTTCAGCGCGGCAAAAGCGCCCACGCTGGCTCGGAGTTGCAGGACTTCTGTGAGCTGCTCTCGGACTTGGCCTGGGAGAAAACTGACAACACCCCGCGTTCACTTGAGTCGCAATCAAAGCGCGGCACAAAAATGGTCGACCCAGAACCATGTAAAGAACTAAGAAGGCGGCCGCAGCTATTTATGGCTGCGATCATCCGTTACTAACCTTCACTTCCCCGGTTTTGATTGTGGCTCACTTGGATGTTTTCAACCTACTGAAAGGTTATAACCAAGGGTATAACTGGGGTAACTGAGGTTAGTTGGCTTAGAACACAGTTGGATGGCTCAAACAACTTAAGTAGGTAAAACACCAGGACTTACTAAGCGGGTTGCACATCCAAGTGACCCCAGATGAATTCACCCCTGGTTGATTTTGATGGGGAGGTGTCCCCTTTTAGTACGCACGCCGGTCATATTTGACGAGGGCGTATTTGTGATTCGACGACGAGTGAGACATTTTGCAGCGGTTCGTTGTTTTTGCTCAAGGAAGCATGTCAGAATGTCACTAGGACATGTACAGGCAAGGCACGGTTGGCCCTTGGCTCGCTTCTATACATACTCTTGCAGCTGAAAGTGCATCAATGGTATGACGTTGCAGATCTGTGGGCAGTGACAGACGGCTTTTGGCGGCGGGAGATTGCTGAGGAGTTTCTTGGCATGTGGATATCAGTTGGGGTGATTGAGCGCAGCCCTGCAAGCATGATGGCGCGTTTGACTGCGGCGCAATGAGCTTGAACGCGCGGTGCAGGAGAATGGATGATGTTGTGGGAAGTCTCTACATGCCAAAGTGGGCCATTGCGTTCGTGAAACCATGTACAAAAAATATGTGGGCATGGCTGGGCTGCCACAACTCCCAAGATCGACATACACAGTCGTTGCAAGCAATGCTGAAGGCAGGCTTGAGGCATTGAGGCTCTATTAAACAAAAAATGCACGTTGGCAATTCTAGGCGTGGCTGTGCAGATCACGGCATGCGTGCTCAAAGCCATCGCGAAACAGAGGCGGTGTGGGGGCGCTGGCCGTGGTTGCGGGACTGTGCTTTGGAGCGCAAAGGCAGGCTGGACAGGGAACGTGTCTCGGGAGACGTGGGCGTGTGTGCTTTTCATGACCCCCCCCCAACAATCATCCCCCCCACAAGAGATTATGGGTGGGATGCAAATAATGCCTCGTCAAATAGGACCGGCAAGCCTTTTAGTAGGGATTCCGCTTTTGGAGGGGCCCTCACCCCCCCAATACTAGGACGGGCTTATGAATCCGGAGCCAGCACTACCATTTTGGGCCGGAAGTGAAACTCCTGAAAGACCAAACATGGGACGCACAAAAGATCACAAGTGTCCTGTTGGATTCAATAGATGGCGCTGGCAAATGGAATAAACCAATCAACACCAGTGCCATCTATTTCTACCCAAACCAACCTGAACATGACACCTATGCCAGACACCCGTTGACACATGAAAGGATAAGCAACTCTGTTCCAACCCATCGAACTCCCAGCCCCACCGGTTGAACCTCACCCAAACGCAGGGCTTCCCCTCGCCCGAAAGACGAATCAGCTTAGGGGACGAGCGTTTCAATGTGTAATTAGCTTCCTTTTGCAACCCTCGGGTCATGTTAACCTGATGCACATCCAATTCGCAATGGGCTTGGTGGATGTGTTTTTCTTTCTTGTTTTTATTTATTGGCTTATCAACCACTATTCAACTTGGGCTTCAATGGAAGATTAATCCGGACGGTACTAATTCGGGGGGGTGGTCCACCTGAGCGGTGGAATCCGCGTCTGGCCTTCAGCCCAGGGTCTTCTCCCCTGACCCCTGAGCTGACGTTTTTGTGGCCCAGCGCGGAAAAGACACATCCTGGATCGCCAGTTGCTGCTTTTTGTCCATGTACTTTACCCCAAAGACCAGCAACAGTGACTGAACAAAAACAGCAACTTGGCTATCTAGGATGTTCTTCCTGACAAATCAATGTGAAGCATTCAACCAACAAATCAATGCGAAGCAAAAGGGCGAGTACTTACACCTCCCCAAACCGGAAATGGAAGCATCAATGCTCCCCCCCACAATCCCGACACGTCACGTGGACAAGGCTCTGCCGAGCGGATTCCCATTATTGGTTGGCTAACACCCCTCCCGGTAGAAAAGAGAACAGGGGCAACTATAGCAACCCAGGAACCGGTTGTTTTCCGGTCGCACCAATGGAGTGATGAAAACGCAAGCCGGGCCAAGTGACCCACTTTCTCTTTGTATCACGCCTGCCTTACTCAAAAGGAAACCGCTCCTTCGGCCCGGTTCCGCCAACTCGCTTTTGGATGCAACTGGGGCCCCGGCTGCTGTCAGCCCCAAAGTTGGCATTGCCCCAGGTCACCACCTGAAATGCGAAAATACGATAGGGAGCCTATTGCAAGTGAGGGAAAAGGAAATCCGATGCTCGGTAATTTACCAGGGAATTGTGTTTGAGTATTGTTTGTTTACTTGCTAACTTCAGGCATCGACCGTATCTCAACAACTATTTCCACCCCTTTGGATTTCTTGGGAGAAGTTGACACTATGGACTATCTTGACAAATGTCGAGCTTTTTAGGATGCCTGAAATCCATGGCTCTGGAACCTTTCCGCGTATCTTAAAGGGAGAGCCGAAGGAACTCTGAGAGCAAAACTGGTCGGACCAAAGGCGGCTTTGGCATCCTGGGCCCAAGGGCCCTTTCAGGTACACCCGACCTCTCAAATGGAGGGTCCCATGATGCGGGACCAAAGACTGAAAAGCCAGCATGCCCTGAAGTGGGAACCGCTGGTCTCTGCCCAAGACCTCTCGAATGAGTTTTTGGGGTCCGAATAGATTCATAGACTTTGATGTAAAAAAGGGCACCCCTTTTCGCAAGCTCACTTAAGCCCAAACTCCAAGCACTAAGCTCTTTACATCAAAACAAACACTCGCAACCCGGCCGGCGGCCGGCCGGCGGGGTGGGTGGGGCTTCAGGGGCTTTGGGGCGCGGTCCGCGCCTTCCGATCCTGGATGGCCGCGAAGGCGCAGTCTGCTTGGATCTGCTGTACAGCCTGAGGTTCCGTTTTTGACCAGATCGATCCTAAAACCCCCGAAAAATCCTGGCGACCTGCTGATTTGGCTATGGGTCAAAACCCAAATGGTACCCCCAGCGAACATCCGATTCAATCCCCACTAAAATGGGTTCTAAAATGGGTGGTGCACCTAGCCCAAAATGGTACCATTGGTGTTGACCCACGGCCATTTTGACCTGTGACCGCGTCGACAATCCTGTGACCTGCTGACCCTAAAACCCGGAAATCCCAAGACCTGATTTCAGGTCTGTCCGTTTGTCTTGGGAGCAGGGAGCCAGGGAACAAAAGCCTGGGGCCTGCCCATCTGTAAGGCCCGGCCGATCCACCGAATCAACTTGGCATGGGGCAAGGAGCCGGACACAAATCCGCGGAATCTATTCCCACAGAAAGGCTTCTGAATTTCCGAGTAAAGGACCTACTTGGATAGCCAAGTTGCTATCTTTTTCAGTCACTGGTGCTGGTTTTTGGGGTAAAGTGGATGGACAAAAAGCAGCAACTGGCGATCCAGGTAGGTCTTACCCCCCAGAAAGATCCTGCAATGGAGATGATGGAGTTGCTGGCCAAAGATCGTTAGGAGACCAAAGGCCACAGCAGCTGAATCCAGCCTCCATGCTTCCAAACCAAAACAGACTTGGGCGTGCCCCTTTTTGAGGGTACCCCCATGTTGGTAGGGTTGAAAGGGAAACCAAACGAAAAACCACTCATTTTGCGGCGCTCCTTTGAGTGTCCCAAAGACCAGCAGAAGGTTCGACATCTGACGCCCAAAAAGGAAGACAGGAAACCGCTTGCCCAATTTGGGCGTGTCTCAAAATAGGGGCTTCCTTTGGCTTCCCTCAAAAAAAAACGCCCCAATGATACCCTCAAACAAGACACACCACTTTCAACACTCGCGTTGTTGATCATGCTGTAAAGGCTCGTTGCAACCCCCTCGCTTTCTGTTCACATAGGACTGTTTGCCTTGGAAGAAGCTGCCCTGTGGAAGCAAACTGTCCTCTCTATCACAAGCATGCAGCATTTGCGTCCGGTCCATCACTAAATCAGCAGCTGTTGTAAGTTCGAGGAGACTGTCATGAACATACAAATGAATCATGGCTGCTAGTAATTTAACCGCGTGAGCATTTGTGTTTGTAAGTTCTCAGTCTTCTCCGATCACTGTCCGTCACCGTCGCTGTTGCTCCCGCAGATTCTAAGACAGACACACACACACAATGAGGCAAAAATAAAAGACATTGATGAATAAATAAATAAAGAAACAAATAAAGAAAGAAAGACATAAAGGAAGTAAAAAAGGACAAACGTAAATGAGTAAATACAGAAAGCAAGAAAGAAACAAACAACGCAAGAACAAAATGAAACAACAAATCATAGAATAAACATAAATAACAAATAGAAGCAAACAAAGGACACAAATAAATAAATGACAACCGTAATAAAGAATTAACAAAGGGCATCAATAAAGATACAATTGAAGGCATGCATGAAGACATGAACAAAGACAAACACAAATCATCAAAGGCAGTGAACAAAACTGGCGGAGAGAGAGAGAGAGAGAGAGAGAGAGAGAGAGAGAGAGAGAGAGAGAAAGAAAGAGAGAGAGAGAGAGAGAGAGAGCGCGAGAGAGAGAGAGAGTGAGAGAGAGAGAGAAAGAGAGAGCGAGAGAGACATAGAGAGAGTGAGAGAGAGAGAGAGACAAAGAGACAGAGACAGAGACAGAGACAGAGACAGAGACAGACAGACAGACAGACAGACAGACAGCAGACAGGCAGGCAGGAAGACAGACAGTCAGGGGGACATTACTGGAACCCGCTGCGGTTTACCCGCGCCACGATCGAACCTTCTTCACCCAGCAGCGGAAAGCTGGTCTCTGACCTGGCTACTGTCCCCGCCAGAGTCCAAATGGCCCCAGGTCACCACGCCACCGCCATGCCTCACCAAAAGGATCGACATGTCACGGCTGCGGCGCGTGGATCCCTTGCTGAAAAGTGATTTACTTGTGGGAGATGGCAGTGGTTATCAAAACCAATGGCATCCCATTTTGGGCTAGGTGCACCACCCATTTTAGTCTAGTTTAGTGGGGGTTCACTGGGGGTACACGGTTTTGACCCACAGCCAGATGTCGTAAATCCATATTTCCTGAAACTCACTTTGCAAATGGATTGGACCCCCAAACAAGTATGAACTTTCTATTTACCGCTAAACTGGGGTTCCCATGTATTCCCAAAAGGACATATGTAAAGATATAATGTCCAGAAACTCAGGGAGCTATTAAAAGTCTAAGTGTACGACTAGGTTCCTTGCTGACAAAGCATCTGCGCCCATTTTAAGATGTCTGCCTACATGCGCAGACTGCATACAGCATAATATCAGCATAGTGGACATGATAACCTATAGAGCATGTAAGTAATACTATACTACCCAACACGATCTCTTCAGCTGGAATTGCGGACCGGGTCCCAAGGATTTAATATGTTCGCTTTTTTCTCCGGAAATGCATCCAGCAATACCCACCTATGGGACCCAACCCTGGTTCTTGCTGACCAACCTTAGGGTTGCTGGAAGCGGCGGACATCTGTTTGGTTCAGAGTTGGCATAGGACACCTGGCTCTACCGAAAATGTAACGGCACACCCGGCTGGGTATGGAACAGAATCCAAGAACATCAACAGTCAACACAAAAAAAGGAACTTTCCAGAAATTGCTGGGCCAAACTTCAGGCTCCTTGACAAACCCTGGGCTTGAATTGAACCCTGAGGTTTTCTTGACTTTCCACGACTGCGGAAGCAAAGCGCAGCAGACCTGACAAATTATTGGAAGGCTAAAAAAGGGATACTTACTTGGCTGTTCGGCGAGGGATATCACCCATGCAACGGCCGTGAAGTGGCTATGTCTCCTGCAGTTTTCGTGGCTAAGACTCACTTCTGGGGTGGATTGGCCCAACAAACTCAAACGATCTTCCCAAAAAGTGGCTGAAGTTCAGAAACTCCAGATAAGGGGAACCCGTGCAGAACACAAACATGTTGCGACGCAGATAAACAAATCCTTTCCAAAGTGGGTGGCTCTTCATATGTGCAACTTGGCGGCAGCGAGTCAATTCCCACGACGCGGATGTCCCCTTACACACCATCCCACGAAACTCGGATTCCAAAAAGCACTGTTTGAACTGTCTACACCAGGGAAACCTGGAGTCTCCATGACCCGGTCAAAAATGGGGTCAGCCCAACCCCATTGAAGAGCCAGGAGACTCCAGGTACCCCAAACTCAGGTTGGTTTCAAGGAATACATTAGTTTGTCCCAAAGGAATCGGACCAGTCCCCCCCAACAAATGCTTGTGGTTTCCTTTCGGCTTCCCTTCAAGACCAAACGAAACAGGTTTCACCCTGAAAAGAAGCCGTGGACTTGACCCATCTTGACCCCATGGACCCGAGCGTCACGTAGAGCGCGAAGGCGCTCTCCGTGGCGGCCACGGCCACCGGCTGCACCACCGCGTGGACCACGTCCCCGTCCCGGATCTTCGCCTCGAGCCGCGTTCCGGTGGATTCCCGGACGCGGAAGCGCCGGATTCGAGGCGTGGGGATCGAATGCACGGATTCGAGGCGTGTCGCTGGCTTCAAGCTATCTTCCCTCTTTACTTGGTGGCATGGATTGGTGGTCTGTGGTTGTGTTATCTAATTACCTCCTACCAGAAACAAGAGGTTCAAATCCCCCAAGCCGCCATGTAGAAGCCAAAGCAAATGGCCGGCTTCTTTTGTCGCAAAAGAAGTCTTCAAGGTGAGCCAGCCATAGTCAATCTGTTGGCCGGGAAGCTCCATGACAAGAGGGCGTCGATTCCAAAATCCCAAAGGTTTAAAGTTCTAAGTGGAGGCAAACTGCATGTTGCTGAAGTAATCAGTAACTGAATAACTGAATATATCTACAATAATCACAAAACCAGAAGAAAGAGATCCTCACGAGCTGGTGTGGCCGAATCGCTGGAACCGCTCCACTTGCCCCGCCTGGCACAGAGTGAGCTCCGGCTCCAGCTGTTGGCCTCCGGATCCGGCTGGGGGCAGGCAGCTATGATTGACGAAAAAGACATGGGTTTTACCAAACCTAAACCAGCAGGAAAGCAATACCAAACTGACATTAAGTCAATTCTAAGTACTGGAAGACACCGATGCTAAGACAAAACACGCCAACACGTCCACTACCCGGGCCTTGCACAAGTCGGACCTGCGGCAAAATAGTGAGTAGTATGTGAACCCATAACCCTCTGGTATGGACCCTCGGTTTGAGGTTAGCTACCAAGCCATTCATTTTGACCTAAACACATGTGATACGAAACATTCTTGTTTCGGACTACTTCAAAACTTTCCTTGGGCTACGACCCCTCCAAAGAAAAAAACACCGTCCAACAAAGCTCCTTTTCAAATGCTTAATCTTAAAGGAGACCAATAAGCCCAAGCTATATCTCCCACAGCCCCGGAAACTTCTGGAACTGATCCAGAATCCTCCCTAGCTGCTCCGCACCACCCGAAAGCGTATTTGGGCGGAGACCCCTACGTAAGCTTCCAGCTCTTAGGGGAAGTAGAGCATGAAAACACCCTTTTTCTGGTACTTCATATTGTCTTTTATACGGGGGACCCCCCAAAAACAAGACAAGGGAATACATGGGCACTGCCGGGCCAAACCGGACCTTTGCCAAACTCTGCCCAGTTTGGTTTGGGCCCGGAAGAATCCGAGGTGATCAGCTGGGCATCAGGTCCGGTGGATTCGCTTTGGGCAACTGGGGTCATGGTCGTGGTCACCAGAAATGAAGACAATTCTTACCATGGGAGTCTAAATTACTGGTACAGGGGTCCATGACCACCGCTACCCACCCGAGTAAAGGGGTCTTCTGATCAAAGCAAGACGTTCGTGACATCTTTGTTTGGGGTCTGGGTGTTTCAAAATCTTCTTGGCCGCAAAATAAAATGAATGTCTATGGCACCCCAAAAAGAATCCTTTAGTGTTCGATTGAACACAAAAACAACATCCGCAAAAACAAGACACACCCAAATGTAAGTTTTGAACCTCGACGACCGTTTTCCGAGTGCAACCGATGGCAAACCTGCCAACCGACCCCACCACCCTCACCCCCCTCCCGACACGGCCGCAACCGCCCCCCCGGGGACCCCGCCGACCCGGGCCTCCGAAGATCAGCCGCAGGAAGCGTCGCGAGAGCAAGCGCTGCGCGCAGGCCTTCAGCTCGGCCACCCGCGCGCCGCAGGGCAGATCCACCGAGCCTTCGTCCGTCGACGTCCATCGGGGGTTGACTGGTGGACTGGGGCAGCGACTTGAATGGTCTCTAAGACCCGAAGAATGGGGAACCCCAAAAGACAGGGGGTGTCTTATAAGGGGAACTCCTGAAAAGGGTGGGTTCTCCTTTCCAGTGTTCCTTAAAACCATCCCCAAACAGAGACACACACACACACACCCATACTGGGTGACCCCGAAATGGGCTCCAAACCTTTCGGCTGCTTCACAGGCGTACTGGTTGAATGGGTTCCAAGAAATTCCAGCGCAGGTTGAACATGCAAGGGTTCAACGGGTCCCTAGGGTTGGGAACCCCTAGTTCAGTTGACCACAGTCACTTGACAAAAGGGAAGTCATGTCCCAAACCTGAGACTGACCCAAGTCCTGGAGGCTTCCCTGCATCTCTCAACATTTTGATTTGAACATCACCAGCTCGCCAATTCAAAGCGAGTTGCCCTTTTCACAACCTTGTCCCACTATCCATGTTGATTGCTTCAAAAGAGGCCCACCCCCCTCCAAGGAGAAAAAGGAGGACAAGGAAGCAACCCACAACAAATCGGTCTAGGCTTTGGGTGTATTTTTGAAGCCCTTTCAGTGGCCGTGGCCATGTGCAAGAAAAGAACCACCCTTTTTGTTGCTAACATCAAGCGGCCCTGCCAATCGCCCTGACACGGAACCAAAAACACCCATTCGGCGCATTCCGAGCAGCAGCCCCTGCCGCTGGGCAGGTGCACCTCGACACTGCAGCGATCGGAGTCGCTGCGATCGCTGCGATCGCTGGGATCGCTGCGGCTGCGGCTGCGGCCCATGGCGCAAGCGAAGGCAGGGGAAGCGCTCACTCGGATCCCCGACTGAGGCTTTCGATGAGGATCTTGGAATCGTCAGGTTTTTTGGGAAGGAAATCACCAAACAGATTGGCTGAAGAGAGATGTCACGTTTGCCCGGATTTCTGCCCAAAGGAATGCTGTGCCTTCATGGAAGTGTCCTTTTGGAGCCAACTTGCGGGTTTGCCCAAAGCCTGTTGCGTTCTACAAGAGGAGCGGACAAGAAAATGATATATGGTCTGTGAAAACTACTAGCTAGCACAGACTGGTTGTCGAATTGTGAACTCATCAAAGGATGCATTTGGACGATTTGCAGGCTGAGAGAGCAAAGCATGACCATGACGCAACCTTCAATGCAATGCCAACGTCTTGAGAAGCATTGCGGACAATGATCTCAAACGTCAAGCGCTCGAAGTGCAATGCCCTAAACAAAGCCCAGACATGCCACAACAAAGAGATCAAAGGTGTACTTTGTGAACACCTGGACCCTCAAGACATCCTCTTAAAAATCGGCGATTTCACCTCGTGTTTTGCGACACCAGTCTTGGGTAGCTGGCCCCTTGAAGGTCCAGGTACGCATTTCTGGCGTCCCAAAATCTCTACGTGTACTTCGACCGCAGCTGGGCTCCCTTGTCCATGTGCCGTGTGCAGCTGGGCTTTAGGACAGTTTTTTCGCCGGGCATTGAGGAAATGGCCGTCCCGATGGATCCATTTGGAAGTATAGTGGCTAGGTCCAGTAGAGAGGTTAGAATAAGGGTGCCTGTTTTTCCAGTCTATTTTAGTAGGGGAACCCTCCCGCAAAACAACCTAGGTGGGCAAGCAAGGGCTGGCCACTCTTTGATTGCTGCTGTGTGGCTGCGTGTGCCAACGTAGGGGTAACTACTGCCATGTCTCGCCCGACTAAGGCTCATTGAATCAAGCTTCCTGAACCTCTAGCCACTGTGGTCCATCCTCAAATTTTGCATAACACCCCAAACTTCACCCCCTTGCCCAAACCGCTGCGTTTTAGATGTAGCTGGATTTGATTTGACCCGGCTATGGTTGATGCTCTTCCGACTGGAGAGTTTCCAGTTGGACTTGTCTCAAGGTAGTACCGGATCGTGAGACTGCCAATGGGTATGATCTTGGCGGTTGCGACTTGAAATTCGTAGCCATACGGAGTCATCAACTTGACATCCATGCCTTTTGTACCACCCAACATTGGCTCCCAGTGTGTCTGCGCCCAAAAAAAAGTGGCTTAGGTTTCTCAATTTCTGACAGAGCCAAGATGGGTCTGTTGGATGAGTTCAACACACATTGGCCGGTGCAATCTTTTCTAGAGTTGGACCCAACAAATCGTGGTTTTATTTGTGGCTTGATTTTAAAACGACAAACACAAGGGGAGCCTCAAACAAACACTCAAAAATACACCTCACTCAAAAAAAAATCCAGTAAAAACCACACACACACACCAACGTCTTGGTGGACCCCCCAACCGTCCGACGGGGATTCCACCGCGCCCGAAGCTGACGCTTAGGCTTCTGGTCGATCGGTTGGTTTTGGAGCCCCCGGCGTGCAGAAGGATCCTGCGGCCACCAGCTTCTGCGTCTGAGCCTCGCGCTGGCGCCAGAAATGTGAGCTGCTCGCGAACGGCTGGAGCCCGGCTTTCTCTGGGATTCCCCATCTAAACGTCGTGTTCTGTCTCTCTTGGCTTCCAAAAGCCCCGAAAATTTGGGTGTTCCTAGAAACCCCGAGCTAGATCTGTTCCCGAAAGTGAACCCAAGGGCATGGCTCTTTTTTTATGGGGAAAAGTCCTTGAAAAAAGGCTTGGTTTCCAAGCCAAGGGCCAGGCATGCCCTGTCCCCCTTAAGTGGTGCTTTGGATTGGTTGCGGATTTGAGCCCCAGTTCCTTTTGAACACTAAATGGGGGCCCCTCGTCAAAACCAAACCAAACCAGTCAGGGGGAAGCTGAAAACTAGCGTTGGATTCTTCAACAATTCAAACAGAAAAGGCAGGAATTGCGGTGCAGGCACCAGCCTTACTAGGAGGCACCTTCACAAAAAAGGGCCTGCACAACGGCTTCGTTGGTCCCTTCAGTTTGTTCCCTGAGAAAATTAGAGGACGATTGGCCCGAAAGCATTTTTCCACAGGTGCTCATCCAGCCGCGGAGGCACCTTTTCACATCGCTGCGGCGAGCGTGTCTGCGCGCGGCGATGCTCAGTGTGTATGGTCACATGAGAGCTCCATCTCATCATCCTACTTTCCTCTCGAACTGCGCTGCGCGATTTCTCACGAAAGTGGTCTGCGCAAGCTGCATTGTTCCAGGCTGCTGCGCGCAAGTTGCTCTCTGCAAGCTGCTGCGCGCAAGTTCTCTGTGCAAGTTGCTCTGCGCAAGTGCTCTGAGCAAGTTGCTCTGCGCAAGTGCTCTGCGCCAGTTGCTCCGCGCAAGCGCTTTGCGCATGTGCTCTGCGCAAGTTGGTCTGTGCAAGTTGCTCTGCGCCTGCTCTGTGCAACTTGCTCTGCGCAAGTGCTCTGAGCAAGTTGGTCTGTGCAAGTTGCTCTGCGCAAGTGCTTTGTGCAATTGCTCTGTGCAAGTTGCTCTGCGCAAGTTGCTCTGCGCAAGTGACTCTGCGCAAGTTTCTCTGTGCAAGTGCTGCCGGAGCTGCGGGGGTGTGCTCCGCGTACTACGTTTGTACTTAAAAGTTGCGATTTTCCAGCCTGAGCTGCGGGAGCACGCTCCGCATACTTCGTCTGTACTTAAAAATTGCGATGTTCCACCCGGAGCTGCAGGAGCACGCTCCGCGTACTACGTTTGTACTTAAAAGTTGCGATTTTCAAGCCGGAGCTGCGGGGGTGTGCTCCGCGTACTACGTTTGTACTTAAAAGTTGCGATTTTCCAGCCTGAGCTGCGGGAGCACGCTCCGCACACTACGTCTGTACTTAAAAGTTACGATTTTCCAGCCGGAGCTGCAGGAGCACGCTCCGCGTACTACGTTTGTACTTAAAAGCTGCGATTTTCAAGCCGGAGCTGCCGCGGACCAGGGGGGAATCGAACCCGCGACCGCGGGATTGCGAAAGCAGGCGCGCAAACCACGAGACAACTTCCAAAGGCCGTTTCGCGAGCAAGAATATTGCACGGCGCCACAGCGAGAGCGCTTCGACACGCACAATCTCCGCAGAAGGTTCGCCGAGACTAAGACAAATTCGCACGGCGCCACAGCGAGAGCGCTTCGACGTGCACGATCTCCGCAGAGGGTCGCGCGCGGCCAGCAGAAATCGTAAAAAGCCCTCAGTTTTTGAGCCTCGGCCACGCGAATCTCCGCAGAGGGTCGCGCGTGGCCAGCAGAAATCGTAAAAAGTCCGCAGTTTTTGAACCTCGACCACGCGAATCTCCGCAGAGGGTCGCGCGCGCACCGCAGAAATCGTATAAAGTCCTGAGTTTTTGAACCTCGACCACGCGAATCTCCGCAGAGGGTCGCGCGCGCACCGCAGAAATCGTAAAAAGTCCTCAGTTTTTTGAGCCTCGACGAAGCGAATCTCCGCAGAGGGTCGCGCGCGCACCGCAGAAATCGTAAAAAGTCCGCAGTTTTTGAACCTCGACCACGCGAATCTCCGCAGAGGGTCGCGCGCGCACCGCAGAAATCGTAAAAAGTCCTCAGTTTTTGAACCTCGACCACGCGAATCTCCGCAGAGGGTCGCAATCCCGAGCGACGATCAAACTCCCGCCCCGGCGCCTTAGAAACCTAAACTAACTTACATAGCTGCTAACGCCGAAGCTCTAAGCTCTACCTAACCTTGGCTCTATGTAACTTGGCTCTATGTAACCTGGCTGTATGTAACTTGGCTCTATGTAACTTGGCTCTATGTAACTTGGCTCTATGTAACTTGGCTCTATGTAACTTGGCTCTATGTAACTTGGCTCTATGTAACTTGCCTCTATGTAACTTGGCTCTATGTAACTTGGCTCTATGTAACTTGCCTCTATGTAACTTGGCTCTATGTAACTTGGCTCTATGTAACTTGGCTCTATGTAACTTGGCTCTGTGCAACTTGGCTCTATGTAACTTGTCCAAGGGCTTCGCACGGAAGAACCCTTCGCGATGCTTTCGGGAAAAAAACACCTCAAAGGTACACGCAAAAACAAAAGCCCGTATAGGCATATGTACGCGCATATGTATGTATATATATATATATATCAATGTGCTGCCCTGCCTGTTGAGAAATCGACTCTCCAAGAGACGCGGACCCCAGAAACCTCAGGTAGGGACTCTACAGACCATCCCAAAGCTTGTCCAACTTTTCTACCTTCTCCGGGGCAACGCTGTGATTTAGCTCCGGAAAATGGAAGCAACACGTCAAGGGTGAATCAAGGGTCATCGAGGTACCAAGGGGCCGTACCAAGGGACCTATCTAAAGGAAAGCCTACAAAACTAAAGGCATGGGTGAGCATGGAAGCCAGAGGAACGTGGGAAGTACAGAAGACATCCCAAGAGATCCGCCCCCAACAAAAGCACAAACACCCACACACCGAGTAGGGATTGCTAAGCGAAACCAAAGGCGCAACAACTAAAAATTCGGTGTGTGGCAAAGGGAGTTGGACCCCCCAAATTGGATTTTGATTCTCCGCTTCTCTTCAAAGGAACGTATACTCAATTCAATCGACCTTTACACCTACTGTAGTAAGCATACCGGTTGTCGACTATGGCAACTGGAACACTGGGAAAACCAACACCAAAAACCAAACTGGTTGTCCAATGATTGTTTGCCTTTGACTCTCGTAAAACCCTTTATTCCCGTACTTGGATGTCTGGCCAAGTTAGTACGTGGTTTGCCACCTGATAAGTTATAACCCACTAATGACTGGGTTAACCCCATTTGTGGAGGCTTATAAGCGGGCTAAAGCCTAGGTTACCCACAAGTAACGCCGAACACCCGGTGCCGAACCTTCGGCGGTGCCGCTTCCAGGAGCTGACTGGAAAATCGCGCGCCTCGCTGAGCCCAATGAA